AAAAGAGTTCAAGGAGCTGCATCATGTTGATGTTGGTTTATTTGTCGTTTATTTTGTTTGTACTGTTAAACATTTTCCAGTAAAGAAAACCACGGAATACCTTTTGTCTGAGTTTTTTTTTTTTCTCTCCCGCGGGGGGGTCGGTCGGTCGAATAATCGATTATTATTCGCCAGGGCTGCCGAATAATCGATTTTGATCATGGTCAGTTTCTGGCAACCCTACTCTGTACCTTATCAGATACTCTCCTAAGTGGACATGTGTGGTGGGAATTTATTTATAAAATGTGGATAGAGAATCAAACCACTCAGCTGTCTTTGTCGTATTTTATTTCTTGCAAGAAAGTTCAGTCCGTCTTACAGAGAGCATAGAGTCTGCAGCAGAGCGAAAGACGAAGAACAGAGTTTGGGTTGCATGTTTAAAACACAGAGAGAGGAGAAAGGAGCTTGGTGATAACAAAGGAGAATGCTGGAATTTGGGGAGGTAGGGAGGCCATATCAGGAAGTTATCAGTTCACCTGAGTTGAAGGTCATACTGTTGGTGCACAGAGTGTAACTAACACATCTTCTTAATAAGGAATGTTCCCAAGCTTAGCTAAGAAGCGGGAGAAGTAGTAAATATAGATAAACATTAGCGAATAAGAATCACACAAGGATTTTCTTAAAGTAAATATTTTTCTATTACAACATGCCATTTACCAAATTTGACCAATGACTGAAAAACCACATCTTTTGGCTATGATGTGGTCAAGGTGACAAAATAGTAGAGGAGTTGATATATCTTTCCATGATGGATGTATCTTTGTGTGAATGTTTTAAATGGCGTCTCTTTTGAGGGACAGCTGACTCTGACAGCAGGACGTGACATTTGGCGTTGTTGTTTTGGATCCACTGCTGATTCGTGCGCCTGCTCCTATACGAGTTAGCACCACACTTATACTTTCCCAAAAAGGTCTGGGAAGGGCTACCACGCAAGTGAAGGAAACCTAAGGGCAGAGTACTGTACAGATACTATGCAATATATATGCACAGAAGGCTAATATAGGCTCCTGGCTAAACTTAGATCCATAGCTTCAAACTATTTTGTGCTGCGTTGCAAGTGACTCACACTCAAAACACCCACCAACATACAGGGAGGACATGGCCCACATCTTTTACTGAAGACAACTATTATGAAACAGGCTATTAAAAAAGGAAATGATAGTCAAATACAAGGACACAATGCAAGTCCTGCATAACAAAGACATTGATTAATGGCCGTGTTAAAGTCTGGTAAACCTTGTTGCCTTTGGTAGTTCAAAACATGTCAAAGTAATAATGTTTTAGAGTCTGTGAAAATGTAACTTTTTCATTTAGTAACTCAGTAACTGACAGTCGACTATCAGAGTAGAACTACAATAACAGTTAAAGCCCTAACTGCTGTTAATGGTTGTTTTTTTTTTTACTAGTAAGAGCCCCTCTTTGCCCCCAACAAGCAAAATAATGTCACAACACACAGAGTTTACAACGAAGTGGCTGCAGCTGACTTTTCTTTTTAAATCTATTTTTGTTCCCCACAAGACCCTATATGCAAGCTTTCATCACTCTTTGTTCAATCCTTTGTGTCTGTAAGGTGCTCCCAGGATAACTTGTGTGGATCTCTGTTGAATGTTTGCATGATCCGTTACCGCAAAGCCTTCCAAACATCACTACTGGCATCTTTACCCAAAATGCCACAAAGTCTTAGAATTGCTTTACATATTTTCCTCACTCTCACCATGTCTGGTATGCTTTGAATATGTTGATAAGTGAGGATATGCTTATTTCATATCAAGGCCTCTTTGTTCCTGAATATTCTCTGAAACAAGTATTTGATGTTCCATAGTCTAGTTCCAGAAAAACACATTCATTTATCTGCAAATAATTCATGAAATTCTCAAAATGTTGTAATATATTTACTTTGAATGTGTATTTAGAGTTGCTGTCAGTAACCAATACGACCTTTGTTTGT